TGTCCCGCCCCTTAGCCTATCACGTACAATGTGTTGGAGCGCTAGCCAATAGAAGTGCAAGTGTTACAAAGTGATGTCACTATGTTCCGGAAGACTTTTAGTTCTATAAAGTATCTGACATTATTCTTCCACCAAAGCATTTAGATATTAATATATACACCAATGTTTTCCTATTTTGATTGAAATACATTTCAACTTGAGGATTTTGAAGTTCTTGTTTTTTTGTTACTTCCTCCAACAATGGAAACACCACTCGCATTAACACGGATGAACTTTTCTTCTTCTATGGTTTGAGGCACTTCTTGTCCTTCTGACACTTTATACAGGACGATATAGGAAAAAGGCTCCCTCTGTTTTCATTCCTCCCTCTGTTATTTTCTCACCTCTTCTTATTCTGGTGTTTTTGGCTGCGGCTGCTGGAGCTCATAAACAGAGACGCTGGCTCTCCCACGCAGAGATGGAAATATATAACGCAGCCGTGTCGCAGCGACGCGTCCTCCTGAAGCGCGAGTCCAGGCTCTCACTGTGTGATACTGTGTGAAATGGATGTGCAAATATTATGCAAATGCACCGGGAGCATATCACACAGTTTCAGATGGAGGATCTCACCTCTGACACCCTCCGAGCGAGAAAGAGAGCTTTATCAAAAACAGAAAGCTGTGATTTATCTCTTCCTAGCACAAAGGGATATTGGAACATTTATAGATGATTTTGAATATAGATTATTCAACTACCTACTAGTAATGTCACATCTCACTAAAAAGAGCCTGTGGAAAATCAAACTGCAGAATTTCATTTGATCATTTTTGCACAAAACACAACATTGAAAAGTACATTTACTTAAGAGCAATTTTGAGTTATTTGTACTTTGCTTGAGCATTTTCATTTGACTTTATACTCCGCTACATCGCAGGCATAAGTAGTGGATTACAAAGTACAATATTTATCATGACTGCATTTTCTATAGCTCTTTACTTTGGAACAAGCTACTTTTCACTCCACTACATTGGCATTAGTTAGTTCAGATTACACTTTACTCAAGATGTTGTGTTGTTTTCCCTCCGAAGTGTTGAGAAATGTATGTTATGTAAAGATTAATATAATTCAGTTATATTTTATTACCCAAAAGTATATTAAGCATTTGAAACGAGTTCCACCTCAACCAGGAAGTACAGTTTACAAACAAATACATTCATTATACTGGTTGTTTAACATGATTTAAAACTGACTTTAAGAAATACTTTCACTTTTGATACTTTGGATTTGTTTGGACTGTGCGCTGGTTTCAGACAGAGGGTGAAAAGTGGTGCTGCAGCACAGGTTGTACGAGAAAAATAAAGAGCTTTTTGAACATTAAAGCATGGAGACATGTCCCAGTAGAGACACTACATACTGATATACACCTGAACATCAGCAGGAGAGGACTCTTTAAAGTAGAGACACTACATACTGATATACACCTGAACATCAACAGGAGAGGACTCTTTAAAGTAGAGACACTACATACTGATATACACCTGAACATCAGCAGGAGAGGACTCTTTAAAGTCGAGACACTACATACTGATATACACCTGAACATCAGCAGGAGAGGACTCTTTAAAGTAGAGACACTACATACTGATATACACCTGAACATCAGCAGGAGAGGACTCTTTAAAGTAGAGACACTACATACTGATATACACCTGAACATCAGCAGGAGAGGACTCTTTAAACAGAGCAGTGTCATTGCAAAGTGAAGTCCAGTCTAAAAACAGCGTATACACTTAAGCTGATATCGGGTTTTTTAGGCCTTGTTTGCACGGCTATAATATAAGTTTTGCTGCGTCACCTGCCAATCTAAATGTTCCCGTTATCTCTGTATTCGTCCCACTTGTGTTTGCAAATGTTGCATCTAGAAGGATTTAATTTCATTAGAATGCTCTTATGTAAAGAGTTTCACTTAGTAACCTTTGTAATATGTTCCCTTAACCGAGATTTTGCAACGGACCATAACCCACCTCCTGCTGTTAGTGCCTGATATCCGTCAGAGTCGTGGCTGCAGCTGGAGGTTGTGACAGCTCTGGGAGGAAAAATCTGCATCAGCAAAATCTGGCTAACCCCCTTTTCTTCCTCCTCCTCCCCCCCCCTCCCAGAGGCATCTCCAGCTAATTTTAGCTAAGCGATGTTGTTGGGCCTTTTCTGTCCTCATTACGCGGGCCAGGCTCCAACACATACACAGGAATCACAGCGCTCATCACTAATTTAACGCCGTGGAGTTTGTTTTCTGCCGCGCACAGCAACACGCCGCCTCCATACGTAGTTTGTGAGTCTGCAAGTGCCAGAAAAAAGAGGCGGCAACAGCTGGGATCGACTTCTTTTATGTCAACGATAAACAACTATCTGAAAAACGTTCTCGGTGCTGATGAAGAGCTGGAGACTGAACACGTTTTCACTCCAACATTGAGCAATATCTTTTTTATTTAAAGGCTTCCAGTCAGGTCTCTCTTTCAACCCACAAAGGACTCTTGACTAAAACCATAAAACAAAATAAGGAAAATTCAAGGATGTAGAAAATGACGGTGCAATGTTTCTGGAATGTTATATTTTCCTCTACTTTATCATTGTATGCGGTTTGAAAAAAAAACAGATCAGTAGATTGATGACTCTTTTAGTACCGATTGAAAGCGATGGGATTGTGTCATTATACTGAATTCCTCAAGACGATAGAGGAAATGTTTGAGTTTGCATCAAAGTGAAAAAGAAAAGAAACTGATCAGAAAACAGGGAAGATCCTTAAGAAAATATGATTAAATCCAAACCACAAAATCTGAATTATGATCAGTTTTCAAGTGTCCTAAAAGCTTAGAGGATTAGGGCCACATGTGATTTTTTTTTTTTTTTATCCATCAAGAATTGAATTTTTCAGAATACAGAGAACAAAATAACTATCTACAACAATTTTTTTCTGAATAATTGCAGAATTCAGAATTGTTTCATACAGTATAACTCAAAAAATAAATGTGGGCTTTTGGCCCCAAACCACTTCCGTACTTTCCCCATCACACTTATCTTAAGGTCCTTACACACCAAGCCGATTTCGGCCATCGATAGATGTCTGGCCGTCGATGAGCGTCCTGTCGCCCTACTCAGATTGGTGTGTCCTGCCCCGTCGTGTCTTTTCGGCCGTGCCGACACCTTCCGCCGCCGATTCTGTCGGTAAAAGGCCGTCGGCTAAAGAAATCACTCTGATTGGCTGTTCAGCTTAGCGAATCAGTGCATGAGAAGTGAAACGGAAGTGAGGGACCCAAACAAACGATTAAGAAGGCAAATCTGAGATTTAATTTAACTCCAGCTCTCGACACAGGTTCGGGAAAGCCCCATGAGTGAAAATGGAACGCACACGCTATTTGTTGTTTGTTTGTATCACGCAGTCTGTTCTTCTTCTCTCGGTTATCACGCAGTCTGTCTTCCGGTTGTTGCCTCTTTTGAATGACGAAAACACACTACCGCCGCCTGCTGGTAAGGAGAGTTATTGCCACTCACGCATGCGCAGTTCGTACGTGCTACTAGGCCGCCAGCTGAAGTCTTTGCGGTGTGTTCCAGTGAGACTGTTGGCCAAGACGCAGGAGAATTGAGGCGACGCAACAGTCGGGTCCGTCGGGACGTGTTCTTTGGTGTCAGATTGGTGTGTAGGGGCCATAACTTTCATACACAAAACTGAAGTTGAGTGTGAAAACAAACTCTGTAAAGTGAAGCTCAAACAACCAAGTAAAGTCACAGTAAGAAAAAGTATACTTTTGTCCGGAGGGTACTTCAAACTCAACACAATATAGGATTTCATTTTAAGTACCGGGACTCAGATATCATTGTGACCATGATACTGAAGAGAAACTGCACCAATCTTTACCTGACACATAAATGAACACTCTGTAATTCAAACACTCTTTCCTGAGGCACTAGCGACCGGGAAAAAGGTCACACCGCTTTTTTACGATTGACCGCAGATAGCAGGTTGTATCCACTTATGTTGTCAGAGCGGCTCCTTCAAAAGAAACCTGTGAACCTCACTTCTGTTTGATCAGAGGACGTTTGAATCTACTCAACACAAGATTTTTTCAGACTGTTGAAACAAGCATTGGTTCGCTCACACCGATAAAACACCCGTTTGTCTTTTCAGGGTTAAAGCTGCTGATTGATCTCAACACATCTCATGCAAGTGAAATGAAGGAGCTGTCATGAACTCGAAGACGTTGTGAGGTGCGCAAGTGTTGCAATAGTTTTGGAGGTACATTAATTACAATCCCAGAGTGAGGGGTGTTAACACTGAAGCCTCACCTCACCCAGAGTCTCTCTACCTGAAGAACTTAAAAACCAAACCTTCTTTGTGACCATTTCTACAATAATTGTGTCCTTTAACTTCACACAGGCTCAACTTTCCTTAACAACTGGTCAGTTAGCAGCAGATTTGTAAAACCTTTACACTGGGCTACACTGACTGTGTGTCTTGGTGCCCAGGTTTAAAGGTGCGTGCCAATTTGTAAATAACAATTATAATCAACTTTCAAGGCCGGTGATATTATGTAATGGAGCTGTGCAAGTCACTGCATTTTCCACAACAATGTTCTGCAAATATTTCAGAATAAAAGTCCGTGCCTTAACAAATGAAGGGATTGTGTCGCCAGATAAATGCCAAATAACTTTTATTTTGTAGAAGGAGCAGGAAGAGTTGAATTACAAACAAAATCATGTCAAAATATGGTATTTTCCAATAAACCTCACGCCCACGACAAAGGCAGATGCCAAAATCTAGTCAGCTGAATCACAGCCGTAAAGCAGACTTTTCTGTCTCATCTGGCTCACCAACAGTAGATAAATCAATGAAATATAGACAGTACCACAAAGTATTTTTGAATCTCTTTCTCTCTGTTCAGGTGTTGACCAAAGTTCCCACTCAATAAGCCTCAGAACATCACCAGGGACACCAATTCAAACATCCCAAGGAAGCGTTCCCTTACCTTGAACAGCCGCAGGATGTTGGCCACCATGATGGACACCGAGCTGGCCGACGCCCCGATGACGCCCACCACTTTATCCGGCTTGGCGAAGATGGGCGGTTCTCCGTTTGCACATCGGACGTCAGAACCATCCCTCTCGATGAGCGCCTGGACGAAGGTGAGCGACTGCTCCAGGGCGTAAGTGTCCCGCGAACAGGTGTCCAGGATGCGCGCCCCGAGAGTCACGTTGGGCAGTATGTCCGGATCCTTGTTGATGAGGTCGATGGCGAAAAGCATGGCCTCCAGACGGTGGATACCCTTCTCCTTCTTTAGTTCACCACAGGGGACGCCCCTATCGCCACGGGAGTGAACAGGGAACAATCCGCCCAGGATGATGTCCCCGTCCAGCCGGATGGAGTGGGCAAACTCTTGCTGGGGAAGCTGGGAGTCCACCAACACGCCGGGCTTCTGGGAGGTGGTGGAGCAAAGCAACCAGCAGCTTTTAAGTATCACCAGAGAGAAGACGCTCGGGACACTCGGGGGCTTCAAACCCCTCGCCATTTTCCAGTGATTCAAGCTACAGGAAGAGGAAGTAGTCGTGGTATGATCGCCGAATCAACAGGAAGGTTGTGGTGCAGGCAGTGTTGCAAGGGCGAGCCTGACCATGGAGTCCCCCGTCACCCAGGGCAGGGTCAACCACGGCGGGCGGTCCCTCCTAAGAACACTGGCCCCAGGGGTTTCCTGCGGTAACGGTTCCTGAGTTTGACATAGCTGTCTGCATAGGAGGAGGCGGAGGATCGAGGTCGCAGCAGCTCCAGTTTCACATTCTTCCTGAAAGCTGTTGGAGGTTCAGACAGAGAAGGAAACAATCAATTAGAGATCAATAAACCAGATAGATCTGAGCTCAGGTGGCCAGCAGGGTCACAGTCTCAGTTTTAGGTTTCAAATGCCTATATTCATGATTAAGTCGATTCGTTTTACACATATACTGTTTAAAAATACAAGTACAATCATAAAGGAGATTTGTAAAATGGGACATCCGATTAGCTTTTCAAACCTTGAGAACATATGACCAGACACTACACAAAAAGTAATTAACATATATCTTACTAACACGTCTAGATTTGGAGAGAGTTCATGTACTACACAGAAACATTTATGAGCTAAAAAGACACCTTACTCTCCCAGATATAGTACAACAATCATTGAAGGCATGTAATGTATCACATTTCCTCTTGCAAAAGACTCACTTTGTCAATGATTGTGCACTTTAACTAACTGCAAACCACAGACTTTGAAACAAACCCAGTTTTTGTGTTCTGCCTTGGGATTTAACAAGCCATTCAGATTTGGCTCCCCTTCCCATGGTAAATGCAGGCTCATTACAAGATTCCCATCCCAAAGCTGAGTTTTCTCCACCCACAGCTTGAGATGTAGCTTTGAAATGTATCTTGCAAGACAGTCATAGCAGACTGAGCTTTTTCAGGATGATGGATACATTGCTAATACAGAGCATTTCAGACTAACAAAATGAAAAAAACAATGTGTTTTTTAACATTAAAGCATATAAATACCTTCTAAATCACCCAAGATTGATTTGACAATAAACATGATGCGTCCTCTTTAAGATATTCGTTTTTTCTACCAAACTTTGACTACTGTTTTGGGAGGTATTCTTACTAAATCACATGTTGTACATTGTGTGTTTCAGCTGCCCCCAAACACATGTTCGGCCAAAGTTTGGTTTACCTGTCTGCATTTACGAGCTCCATGTTTAAGTCCTCCACACACGTGGTGATTAAAATGGCTTCTTATACTCTACGAACAGGAAGTGGAACAAACCAACTGTCTGCGATGAGGAGGGGGGTCCACCTCCTGGAATTAATCTGATTGTTTTGCATCCCAAATGTTGATAGGTGTAAATGATTTTGGTGTTTTAATGTTAGTTTGTTAGTTTTGTTATAAATGTGTTTTTTTATTTTGACCCATAACCATGTTTAAACGTTCTGCCATAAAATAACAAGACATTTTCAACATAGAATATTATAAAGTATTACATGTAAATTGTAGTTAAGGGCCCATTTCTACAGAGCCCTGGAGGGTTCATAGAGAGAAAAAATAAATAAAACGAGGCCACGTTTTATTAATTTGTGCGCACGAGATGTAATTCGTGGCCTCAATTTAAATAAAAAGAGGCCACACTTTATTAATTTGTGCGCACGATATACTTTATCGTTCGCACGAAAGTTACCGGTGCGCCAAGTAGGAAGTGGAGCGCACAGGAGACAACCGTTTCATTGCAGACTGTTATGTTAAATGGGGAAATGGCAGTGCATACATTATTTGAGATATATTTCAAACTCTGACTTCATTTTAGGGACATTTCGGCCAGAGGTGTAGAGCTATTTGTTTAAGCACCGGATTGGCAAAACAGGAGAGTCTGTAAACCAGTCTGCCTTGATCTATGAATTCATGTCCGTGACTCTCACAGTATCTGCTAGAGAGCTGTGTCTTTTACGCA